CAAAGAGATAAGGGGTGGGGTGCTGCCTCTGATTCATAAATCAATAGCCTTTTAGAATCAGATCTAAATAATGAATTGTTCTGTCTGTTGATTCCCCCACTCCCCACTTTTAAAGAAATATAAACTTGCAAGTTACAATGCTAGTGGGTCTCTCTCTTTCTATCTTTCTTTCTCTCACACACACAAACACACAGTGTCTGCTAGGAAATCCTCCTTGGCAGTCCCCAGCTCACATTTGTTAGGCTGCCCAGCCTAACTGCCAAGCGTAAAGGCATCATCCATTAAAAAGTTGGCTGGATTTTTGGAATGGTTCCTCCAGATAGCTTTGACACCCATCTCTGACTTGTTAACTCCCCCACACAAGGGGGAGGGAGAGAGTGGGGAGGATAGGAATAGGTGACAAGCTTCTTTGCCCAGCACATTTCAAGGGTAAATCACAGTGGGAGACAACAGGGTCAGCTCAGATCTGCAATTCCAGTGGTTCAGTCCTTCCCTAAAAAAAACAAAAAAAAAACCAAAAGGGCATTGTGAACCACATCAGATTGCCAGTGGCCAAACCATCTCCAAGGCCCAGATCTCTATATGAGGTTAGAACAGCAGTGCTAATCTCCTATCCAGTGTTTATAGAGCCTTCTCATCACTGGGAGGGAGTGGAAGGCAGCCAAGTTGCAAGAAAACATTCATTATTTCATATATATATATATATGCGTGCTACTGTCAACAGTGACATTCAAACTCTCGGCATAACCCATCGTTAGAAATCTATGAACCAATCTGAAGATAATCCTGGCACAAGGTCAGTTCACACCCTGCAACCCCAAAGCATCTGAGTTCAGCACTGTGGAAATCCAAAAATTATATGTCAGAGAAGGTCGAATTCTACACTGAAATTTCTGCAAACCAGAAAATAGCATGTATGAAAAGTTGGCTCATTTCAAATCATGTTACTCTTCTCTCTCTCTCTCTCTCTCTCTCTCTCTCTCTCATATTCTGAACTGTATCAGTGGTGAAAGCAGGCAGCTACAGCATGCTGGCAAAATATTGAGAGCTCTTGCTGCATCATTTCACCCAATTTCAGTGCTGAGTACCAGAAAAAAGCAGCAAGAGAGTTCTAACCATTTCGCCACTGAATCAGAAGTGTATGTTTTTGCAGAAAGGTCCGTTGCTTTTGCAAGAAACATCAGGCACCTGCCATAATCCCACGTGTTTTGACTTTTACGGTTCTCTAAAGATGCCCAGGACGCAATGGATCTCCAAGAGAAACACATTTCACATTTGCAGGGAAGCCACTGAGAAGACCCCTGTGCATGCGCATGATCTTCTGAGCTGGGACTCAGTCGGTACCACAGAAACAGCACCATCGCTTGAGGAAGGGATGTAAGTGCAATGTTAGAGCATATGCTTTGCCTGCCAAAGGGTCCAGTTTCAATCCCCAGAAGAAAGCGCTGGGAAGATTGACCAAAAGTCTTACTCGGGTGGAGAACCTGGGACCCTCCAAGATGTTGTAGACTTCACCTCCCATCATCCCCTCCCATTGACTATGCTGGCTGTCAACGATGTGGAGTTGGAGTCTCAACAATATCTGGAGGGCCACGGGTTCTTCATCTCTGCTGCAAATCGATATGCCAGCATTGCATGGTTGATTGTGGAGAAATGATAGAATAATAATAATAATAATAATAATAATAATAATAATAATAATAAATAATAATTTTATTTATATCCCGCCCTCCCCAGCCGAAGCTGGGCTCAGAGCGGCTAACAACAGTAAAACAATAAAACATTCTAAAATCATTTCATTATAAAATTAATTCCAATCAAATTAATGGCAACCATTGGGCTAGAAGTTCTGTGAGGATTGCCAAAGGAGAGAGTCAGGCTGTGCCTTGGCCAAAGGCCTGGTGGAACAGCTCTGTCTTGCAGGCCCTGCAGAAAGATGTCAAGTCCCGCAAGGCCCTAGTCTCTTGTGACAGAGCGTTCCACCAGATTGGAGCCACAGACGAAAAGCCCTGGCTCTGGTTGAGGCCAGCCTAACCTCTCTGTGGCCTGGGACCTTCAAGATGTTTTTGTTTGAAGACTGTAAGTTCCTCTGTGGGACATACCAGGAGAGGCGGTCCCGTAGGTACGAGGGTCCTAGGCCGTATAGGGCTTTGAAGGTTAAAACCAGCACCTTAAACCTGATCCTATACTCCACCAGGAGCCAGTGCAGCTGGTATAGCACCGGGTGAATGTGATCTCGCAGCGAGGACCCCGTAAGGAGTCTCGCCGCGGCATTCTGCACCCGCTGGAGTTTCTGGGTCAGTCTCAAGGGCAGCCCCACGTAGAGCGAGTTACAATAATCCAGTCTGGAGGTGACCGTTGCGTGGATCACAGTGGCTAGGTCAGGGCGAGAGAGGTAAGGAGCCAACTGCTTAGCTTGGCGGAATGTGACTGAATGTAACTCAGAAGCAGTGGTGCTTGATGCACAAGTGTTATCCATACATCAGCTGTACTAAAAAGGAACTGCTGTCTTCATTAGCATGGACCATACTCATATCATCCCTGGTCATTGGTCATGCTGGCTAGGGCTGCTATATACCATCCTAGATTTGCATATTTGCATTCCTACCACTTTGCCTCTCCCCTTCTTCCTCCTGGTAAGCAACATTGACCTACCTGCCAGGAAGCTATTGTAGTAATTTTGCCACACCTAGTAAGCTGCTTCTGACTGGTGTGTGTGTACACCCCCCCTTCACTTTAGAGAATTATCCCCAGTGTCACACTAAGGTAAGAACTAGCATGACAACTATATAAACTGTGTGTGTGGAGCTTTGGGGCATCCAGATGCTGTTGAATTTCCTTCCTTCCAGTTGAAGTCAATGGGAGCTTTCTTCCCACCTGGAGCCAATGAGTTTTCCTTCCATTTGGAGATGATGGGAGCTTTCCTTCCATTGCAAATGGCGGGCATGTGGGGATTTGAATTAGATCATAGCAGAGGCAAGGATTAAAGCTCACCTTCCCCATATCACAGCTCCAGTCTGTTTACCCCAGCCTCCCCAGAGATATTATTTTTTTAAAAAAATCAACCCTGCAAGGGCAAAGCTTACTTCTAATTTTGTTATCGGATGACTTTTTATTTTTAGTTTTTAAGTGATTTGAAAGTTTTGCTTCTTATGGTGTGCTCACATAGTGCTTTTGTGCCACTGTCACTTGGGGGAAAAGGGGTCTTGAAAGATTGCAAAAGCTGTTCAACAGAAACCAAAGTGAGTTTAGTATATCACTCACAAGCATTCCTCCCCCTTTCAAACTGCCTCCATTTTTCTGAAAAAGTGATTGTCACCAGTACAAATGGTGAGAGGTGCTTTTTATTAAGGAATAAAGCACTTAAGACTATTTTGTTACTGCTTAGGGGTTTTTCTTAGGCTACCATAACTCAAACTTTTATAAAATCATAGTAGATATGTTTTTCTTATATGCAATTAGATGCATTCCACCATGATGTCTTCTGATCCCATGCTGAGTTCCGGAACTTTTAATTTTATGAGGTGCATTTCATTATTATCTTTTGCCGTGATATACATCTTGATCTTTTAGATGCCCCAATTTTCTTTGCTACACATATTGAGTGGCGTCAAGGCAGTTGGCAGTATCCACTCAATGTAACCCCAAACACATTTGTGTAAAATTAGTACACAGGATTTGCTAGAGAGTATATATACTTTGTTTATAGAAAGTATATACAATGACTATTGGATTTGGTGACTTAAAATTGCAGTTTTTCAAAAATGTTTGCATGAAATGGAGAAAAGTAACTCAGTTTAAAGGGATTTTGCTATGTTTTTAACTGCTTCAAACAACCTTTATTTTCTGGTCTCTTTATCATTTTTAAAAGTTGGCAAATCTGCCTATATTCCTAGACAGTGAGCTCTTTGTCATAGTGGCTTCCTGGTGTTCCGATGAGCAAATTAAAAATAAACAAAGTTTTGCCTTCAGTTTGGAGAAACGATAAAAGAGACAAGATTTGTTTCTACTGGCAATACAAAAGGTTTTGGACAACCTTTACTCAACATTTGAGAAGTGAAAGGAAATTCAGAATCGTGCCCTCTAAACCAAACCACTGAGACAGATTTCACTTGTGGGGCCAGAATTTATCTCAAGAGGAAATCTGTCTTACATTTAACTGCCTAAATTGAAACTTGCACCATTTAATCCTGCACTATGGGCTAGCCCCATATCAAGCTTTAACCAATTTCTCAATGACTGATTATGGCTGATTGTGGGGATGGTCAAATATATCAATTTCAGTTTCTAAAATTCTAATCATAAAATCAGTCACCCCCCTTTTCTGCACCAGATAGCAATTTTAAAAATTGTGTAGAGCTTTCGTGTGTGTGCATTTATACTAATGCATGCACTTTTGATGTAACTTGGCCCAATATTTACCACTTTCCCAGGGAATTTTGCGAATAGAATGCATTTTTATACATTATGGTTAAACTGGAAAAGTGCATTGCAAAACTTGAGGATGTGCAGCCTTCAAAAGACAGCTAGTGTTGCAGTCTGCATTCTGCTTTGGGAAATGCAAATGAGGGAGGTTCCTATCAAAATGCAAACCAATCAAATGCACCCCCCATCCCCGTGCTAGTGACTGTGGAACTAAATAGTGACAAGAATTTGGAATTTATTAGCATTGACGCAAGCTTGTGTACATGGTCTGGAAGCAAACAGATTAAAATGAATTCCACTTAGCTGTTATTCTTGAGTGTAATTTGGTTTCTGGTTTCTTAAAATTGGTCTGAGATGCTAACAATACAATGTCTACAAATCCACATGAAAATACATTGTAAGTGACACAATTCTGTCTTGTTCTCTCTTACTTTGTGCGAGGAAATACTCCAGTCTAAATTTCTGGAGGAGCAAGGAAATTATGAAATGCTGTGTAAATGTTTTAGGAGCATGGATTGCTTTAGGTTCATGGAAAATTGCTCCGGTCTTTTATGAAGTACAGTTTCTTTTAATTTTACTGCCTTTCAGGCCAGGGAGGTGGGGAGGGAAAGGCCCCTCTCTCCTACTGACATGTCCTGCCGTCAGATTTGCAATCTGTTTGTTTCAGAGTTTCTGTGCAATTCCGCCTTCCAAGGCAGCCTCAGGAAAACGAGTAGCCTTTATGCATTTGTTGTGTTTCCTTAAATGATTGTTTAGTCGGGAGATGTTGCCAACTTCCTGATGGGTTATTTCTGAAGCTGTGCTAGAGAGACATGCTTCCTTTATTTTACTTAAGGAAAGGGAGACCGGCAGACGAGAAGCAACCGGCTTGGGAGAGAGGTGGACTCTTCAATCTGTAGGTACCGGATCTTTCTCTTTCAATGTTTTGCCCATCTTCCCACCCCTCCTCCACTTTCCCAAGACTGAAATGCACACACTTTCTCAGGAATCATATAAGACCTTCCAGTTTCAGTGTGTTTGGAACCTTTCTGGAGAAACCTCAGTAATCTATCACCCTATTAAGAAATCTTGTTGGGTAAATACTGGTTGCTGTTGAAAGTTACTTCAGAGGTCTGCATGCCCTTTATTCACTGTAACTTTTGTTTTTATAACATATTTTGCCCTACATGCTTCAGGTTTTCTTTTCAAAAGCTGCTAGCTCTTTTTCCTCGCTGCAGATTTATTGCAAGCCGATTAGAGGTTTCATTAACAGATACAGCATTCCCTCTTATGCATCTCTCCACTGAATGCGTACATCTCTACATCTGTCAGTCAGTTTTTAATTCGCCTTGCTCCCGGAAGATTTTGGGCAGGCAACAATCTTTTTTAAAAACCACACATTTAGAATCTGGGGAGATTTATACAAAGGAAAAGCAGCTTTTAAAAAGTTCACAGGGCTCACACTATTTCACTTGGTTTTATTTTACTCTTTCAATCCAATTGTTCCACCCGTATTTTCTTCTTGCGAGCCGGATTGTAGGCATTTGTACATTAGTATTTTGTCAAAATGTAGCTTGCTGCATTAAATCCTTAGGATTTCAATTTTATTTCTGCGTTATAAATATGTTTGCCTGAATCCCAATAACATTGGATAAATAGAGAGGCAGGTAGGCACCAGCTTTAACAACAGATTTTAAAAGACACCACTAGCGATATGATAAAAATCTGTAGGACAGTATGTCTTGTTTGCCGATGGTTGAAATGAGTGGGGAAACAAATAGCTTCATCCTCTGTATGAAGTACAGAAAGAAAGATTTTGCTTAATGGATCTGGAGGGCGGGGTGACCTCTGCGTGTGTTACTATTTTGTGAAGAGTCATAGGAATTATTTCAGAATCTGTTGACAGGTAACATATACGCAGGGAGTGGGATGTGCAGATTATATGTGCTGACATAATGAAATCTCAAATCCTGGAAAGTTTTTCAAAGTACAGACAACAGAGCCACAGCCCCCAAATTCACAGATTATTATTTTTTAAGCCATGCTCCAGAACATCAATGGCCCCACATCAAAGTCAATGAGTTGTTCTTTAAATATAAATGAAACCAATGACACTTGGTAATGATGACTAGCTTGCAGCGCAAGCCTACTCAGAAGCAAGCCCCATTGAGCTCGGCAGGACTTGCACACAGGTAAATGTATTACACCCGGGATTTCAGCACAATAAACTTTCTTTGAATCAAATTCAAAGTTCAAATTCAGGCAAAGGGAGAATCTCTCTGTGTGCGGAGGCTTCCACAACTGGAGTGGAAGGGGAGATAGATCTGTGAGCACATCAGAGCAGGTTTGGAGTCCACGTGTCTTAATAAGACTAAGATCCGAGTCATGGCACCAAAAAGAAAAGAAAAGAAAAGAAAAGAGACGAGACTATGGAGACACATTTATGATACTCATGTTGAAGCAGAGATGTCTACAGCAAATAGGAAGCTTTTTTAAAAAAACAACAACAACCCCACAACTTTGATAAACATTACAAAATTCAAAGATTTTGACAAACAAAAGCAAAGTTTTCTGAGTGTAAACAATGTATCACTTTTATAAAATGTTACTTGTTTATTAAGGAAGGATTCTGGCAACAATTCAATTTTCCCAGTCACAAGCAACAGATTTCCATGGAAAATTCATTTAGCAATCTGGAAATTGTCCAGACCAGGATGTGTGCCCATCATTTTCTGTTTTGGGAATTACTCTGGTTAGTGTTAGTCCACGAATGGCAACCCAATACATCCATTGCCACTCCAAGTTACACTATCATCCCACTGTGTGCGTACTCCTCAAGCTACACAAACCTTTAGCCTTTCTCATTAAGTGTGTATTTCGCTTGCAGTTGCATTGCCTAATTGATTATGTAGTCTTTAAATGTTTTGTTCTGTGGATGAAATGGAACAGGTGTTAATCTGGAGAACAAATGTTCACTGTTTTAAAAGAGTTCCCAGTTTTAAAAAATACACCATGCAGAATTGACAAAAAAGGGTTAACCTATTGTCTGGGTGCTTGTAAGTGCTGCTTTGAAGGTGCTTAAATGCTTCCCAAATGAATGGGCATGAATTTTCAGATCAAAACTGAAAACCGCAGAATTCAACTTGAATTTTGGTGTTGCTGAAATTCGGGAGCCACCCTCTTTCAAGTACTGGCGTGCAGCAAAGAAATCCAAATATTTTTCAAGCCTCCACCTCAGCATTTTGTTATTCTTCCAGATAAACTTTTGCTTTGTAAATCTGTTTTAAAGGATTTAAAGTCTGGGTAAAGATCTTTATCAGGAGGAAGCCTGCTGAGCTGATTAGGAAAGGAGTTCCATCTTCATCCATTAGGGGGCATTGCTACTTCTGCAGATCAAACCAGGGGAGAAAAAAACCTTCAAGATTCCGAGAACCTGACAATTTAAAGCAGATTCGACCTCATCATCTCTGTTTAGCTGCTCAGAACACTAATTTGGTGTAAAACCATCGTTTAACAGTTAAAAGGAGCTGTTCTTGTTGCTATTTGTGGCTTCAAGCGTTAAAATCTTGGTTCATCAAAGGTTGTTCAGACTTCCAGTATGGCGAGAGGAAAACTGGCTGTCTATTTGCAAACCATAATTAATTAGTCTAGCAGGGCACAATTCAAGGTTTTTGCTTTTTCCTTTCTTTTTGACTGATCCACATTTTCCTCCGGTGATTCATTTAATACAGCATTTATCCCGTATTAAAAGGTTAAGGTGTTTAATGATTAGATTTCTAGGGGACGTGAGAAACACTGGCTCTCAGGGATGAAGTTAATGTGGCAACATCAGTTTGTTCAAGGAGCGTATTGTGGACCAACTAATGGCAAACACTGTTATTCCAAATTCTTACTAATGAAATATTTTATTTTTGTAAAAATTTCTACCACATCCGTCTAGTGTCAATGCATCACTCAGGTCAGATGACAGTATTTTAAAATCACAGTATATTAAATATACATTACAATACAAAGAATAAAACAAGGTAACATTCACAACATATAAATTACACAACTTTTTAAAAAGAAATCTATTCAAAAGCAACGACAGAGATCATGATAAAAATAACCTCCTTTTTTAAACCTTAGCAGGCAAAAGCCTACTAGAATAAAATGCCAGCAAAAACAGCTAGAGAGGCTACAATCTTATATCCATTTACCTTGGAGTAGGTGTTATTGAATTCAATGGGACACCCTTCTGAATAGATTTCTGGAAAGAGCCAGCCTGGTGTAGTGGTTAGAGTGTAGAACCAGGACCCAAGAGACTTAGGGTTAAAAATTTTACTGAGTGATTTTGAAAACTAGTTTCTCATCCTAACCTACGTCACAGGGTTGTTGTGAGGATAAATTAAGGAGGGGGAGAACCTTGTGTGCCATCTGGAGCCTACATATATTTGATAATAAAATGAAAATGAATATTTTATTGCAAATTGTCCACTTGTTAGGGTTTCAGTCTTGCTTTAAATGTATTTGTTGCTGTGCTTTTACCTTTTTTAAAAACCTGTTATGTAAATCACCTTGAGATGGTGGCTGAGAAGGTGATGACAATTGATGACAATTATGATGATAAACCACTTTGAACATATTTTAAAGAGGAAGGGTGGTCATTTTGGCCATCCTTTATATATCAACCAGATTCTCTTGTCCATTGTATGTGCACCTTCCACAGAGGTGAGCAAGGTAGTTTAGAAACTGGAAATAAAATCCAAGAAAGAAAAAAGAAATTTCTGCCCCCCTCCAAGCTTTCAGTCCTTGATGTAATCTGGGCTGTGGAGACGTTTTAAATTGCTGATAGGTTACTGAGTTTATCCTGGGCTAGTTGACTGTTTTGGAGCTGATTTTTTTAGATCATTACAAAGTGTGGCTGTTTTAGCGCTGTGGTAACAGGGCCCTCCAGATCCTGCAGGACTCCAGATCCCATTAGTCCCAGGCAAGATGGACAAAGTTCAGGGATGCTGGGAGATGTAGTCCAGCAACATCTGGATAACAGGACTGTGCTGGCTTACCCTTTCTTTTAGTGCATTTCAATGGTATTTGCATTGGTCATTTTTAATCCTGAGAGCCAATGTGCTGTAGTGGTTAGAGGGTTGGATTAGGACCTGAGAGACCAGGCTTCAGATCCCCACTTGGACATGAAGATCATCGGGTGACCTGGGGCCAGTCACTGCCTTTCAGCCGATGCTTCCTTACAGGGTTCTTGTAAGGAATAAATGGGGGGCGGGAATAGAGAACCCTGTATGCCACCTGGAGGAAAAAGTGCACTCAAAAAATAATACTGCATAGGACTTTGTCAAGAATGTTTTCTGAAAAAAAAGAGTTTATAAATTTATTAGGCTTGAATTTAACAACCAAAGCACCAGGCACACCACTCATTGCTCAGGGAAGCAATGTAAGTGTCAAACAGCTAGACTTCCCATCTCTAATGGAAGCTTAACACCGTTTGTAAAACAACCAAAATTTGGGGTTGTGTCCAGTGTTAGCCCTGCTCAAGAGTAGACCCACCAAAATCAATGCTCTTGACTAACAGGTTCATTCATTCAAATGAGTTTACTCTGAACGGTATTTAGACTGATGCAACCTATAGGAATTTCATTTGATTCCCTAACAATATTACAGCAGGTAAAAAGAATATTGAACGTATTACTGGAGGAAAACAGGGATCATTACTCACTTATTAAATCAGTTCAGCACTGCAACAATAGATCGATCAGTTGTGCGAGCCTAGACATGTCTACTCAGAAGTAAGCCTCATTAAGTTCCACGACATTTCTTCCCAGAGGAATGGAGTGTAGGATTGCAGCCCAAGTATATCACCCCAGACTGTAAATAATTCTTCTAAGTATGTCCAACATTTTTCCCTTAGGGGAAATGTTTAAACTTGCAGCAGCCCCATAAACCCTAAGCATGTTCACTCGGAAGCTAGTTCCCTTGAAATAAAAGCGACTTAGACTCATGTAAATACTGCACAATCATAACAGAGCATATTAAAATGAAAGAAACATAAAATTTGCTGCATGTAATGGTAATAACCCCCACGCCAGATTAGCAAACATATATACCTATGAATGTGAAATGTATTCATTTTGTGTTTTGTTCTTTCTGCAGCAGGGGAGTTAAGTCTTGTGGGCTGCATAACTAAATTCCCAGAGTGATTTCCATAGGTATGATACAATTTCTTTTCATATGCACGTATTTGCTGCATTAACTTTTTAATTTTTTTGTTTTTTTAAAAAAGTCCAGATTTCTTCTTTGGTTGGCGTTAGATTGCTTAAATCAGCAACAAATGAGATTGCCAGATAAAACTTGTTCAGATTCACATTTTAACAAGCAGTTAATTATTCTCTGGCTAATTCAGCTTCACAACTTGATCTTTAACTGATACATTGTCTTCTCTCCACTAATCACCACCTATTCCTCTTCATTCACCACAGATTTCCCTTCCTATTTCCTGACATGTTTGGGATCGCTGGTGTCAGCAGGGGGAATAACAAGTCAAATGAGCGGCAGAAACACCAACAGACTTACACTGTGTTGCTATATGAACCCGAATACAAACAACAACTTAAATATTTAAAAGGAACAAATATAGCCTAGTGTTTTACCCAAGGTGTATATTGCTGAGCTCTGCCACAAAATGTCAAATCTTGTGGCATTTTCAGTTGCGGGATTATTATTCGTAGACCTGTAGAGATTTCTAACTTACGTTGTTTCAAAGGTCGCAGCCAACTTAAATCAAAGTCTTGCTGTCTTTTATTTATCCTAGTGCCATTCTGCGGAATGGAGAGTTTCTGTTCATGATTGACGTCTTAGGGGCAAATTAGCCCTAACGTTAAATCTAGTATTTGCATTGAGGCGGCAGGTTTAAAAAAAACCAAAAAAAACCCCGCACATGAGATGCAAAGATTTATCTGCTTATATTATTGATATCTTCTTGTTTGCCCAAAGACCTCAGGGTGGGTTACAGCAATTAAACATTGTCATAATCAAATATTAAATCAGGTAAAAGCCACCACCAACTAACTGTATTCTGTGTCATGTGTTGTTTTCCTCAATATATAACTTTCCCTCTTCATTCATGGACTTACGTTATTTTCTCAAAAGTCTGGTTAATATATATATCTATATATATATCTATAAGACCAGCTAGTTTTTCCAATGCACTTTCTGATGTGTCTTGAGTTCATACCCCACCCCCACCCATTCAGCGAAAACTAATTTTGGGAGAAGCTCTTCGGCAAGTCAAATAATAGGGTTGTCTGTGAGTTGGCACATTCTGTTTTGTTTGGTTAAGGTGGAGGAGATTTACGAGAAGCAACTGGCACTTCTGACTTCTGCTTTTGACCATCCCTTATTAAATAAGGGAGAACAAACGGGTTCTCAAATATACAAAAGAAAGCATTTCCCCAAATAACACATCATTCATGTGTGGAATTTTCTGCAAAAGAAGCATCAGTGGTCACTTACTCACTTACTTTACATGGAATTAAATGGAGAATATGTTTGCGTGTTGAGTCCCACAGTGCCACCCCCCAAAAATTCACACATCACACTTCAATTTTTGTTTAAGGTTTTTGGCATAATTTTTGGCCACAACTTTATTTAAATACAAAAAATGTGAGTGGTTGCTTAGGCATTGGTTTGACTATCTGTCCTTGCCCCCAAGGACAGAGCTGGCACTTCCGGACACCACCGGAAGCCAGCGTGGGAAACAAGTATTGGGGAGAAGTGAGGATGGGAATCAGTCCAACACTTCTCACCCTCATGTTCCGGTGGGGCTTGCACGGCCCAAGTCCGGCTCCACGGACAAGGACGAAAGAATGGCAAGCCCCTGGATTCCTTTAATGGAATTCCCATTCCGCATCATTTGGAGGGATAGGCACCTTACCCCTCCAAGAACCAATTTAACCAATGCCTAACCGCCAACCTTACAAGTTGTGACGATTTGCTACGCAGTAGGCAAAAACCAAATGGCACCAGCCAATCAGCCAAATGTCAAAATTCCTACCAGGCCCCCGCTCAAAGGCGGACGACCCCATGACAGGCATAGCAAGGTCAAGTAACCACGGAACCACCCTATAAAAGGGAGGGGGCGGGTGATCCGATGCAAAACGGCCAAGAGATCGTCCCATCGTCTGGCTCCTGAATTTATAGTCTCTGACCCCTCCTCCGAATTGGCAACACTCAAAAATCCCCAGCAACCCAATTAACCCTTTACAGGTTTGGGTTCCATCAAATTTGCCTAGTCATGACACAGTGGCCTGTTCCCCCAACCGCAACACGTGCTCTCTGTTAGGGAGAACACGCTTTATTGGTGCTTATTGGCCCTGACAGTTAAATAGAGCCTCCATGTTCATAAGCAGTTTACCCAATGGTACATTTATAGGTACACTCAGTATATGTAGAAGGGCCCATGCAGCTGAGAGACCCCTCCCTGAGTTATAATATTTTTCAAGAGCATTTCATGAGTTTGGCAATTTAAAGTCATTTAGAAAGCTAGGGTACTGCAAGAGTTAGAGTGTTGGACTAAGTCCTGGGAGACCAGGGTTTGAATCGACTCTCTGCTATGGGTGGCCGTGGTCACTCACTTCCCAGCCTAGCCTATTACGCAGGGTTGCTGTGGGAATTAAATGAGGAGGGAGAGCACCACGTAAGTAAACCTTGAGTTCATTGGAGAAAAGGTTGGATGTAAATGTAATAAATAAAACAAATAATAAACTTCTGCCCTCTAAAGTTCTGCATAGCAAGACGTAAATTACGGCAAGTTCCTCAACCAGTTTGTGCAAAAGGAAATGCCAGAAAAACACACGCGTATATTTTGTGACTACCTGTGAATAGTTTACAAAAGTCTTTTAATTTTCATCCATTTTGTTCCCTTAAATAAAGTTCATTTTCTGACAGAAGGTGGTGTTTTCTTTTTATAGTTCTCTACGTATACATATCATTAATGAGAAACAAAAAGCACAGTTTAATAATATAATAGTAGAGAAGGATAACCTGTGTTATTAACTCATTCTTATGCATTTAGCTCTGACCTATTTTCAGACACATTGATGTTTACTTGGGTGAAGGAATTACCCCCCCCCCCACGCACACATAAAAAGAGGGCTGTATTCAGAGCCCCACTGACCATAAATCCACCACTGAATATACCCGTGAACACCAAAGAGCAGTGGGGGGAACAATCAGTTTATGAAAAATACTCCTTTAAGTTTTGCTTGTGGAATTCCCAGAACTTCTGGTTGGCCACTGTGGGGAACAGGCTATCAGAATTTGGAATGGGAAGAAATTTGGTTTGGTTTGCATTTTCATGTGAACCCGTTTTATTCACACTTCACAGAACAATGCTCAAATGGAAACACAGGCCACCTTCGAAATTCACACTGCTCTGAATTTTGAGATTCAGTTATCTGAGCAAAATAGTTTGCAAAAGTCTGCATATTAGGGAAAATGGTGCGGGGGAGGGGAATGCACACATATTTTTGTGAAAATAACATCCCTAGGTGCATTATAGCAGAGAAGATTGCTTATAAAAATATGGACATTGGGCAAAAAGGCATTAAGAGAATTACTAAAATGCTGATAAAGTTTTGTAAGGAATTTTTTTTGGGGGAGGGGGTGTCACAAACTGATGCAGAAATGTGGAGAACTGAATTTAAGACTGAAAGCAGGGAAATGAGAAACTGAGAGGCACCATCATTTACAGGCTTGCCCATCTCTGGACTAGATGAACCGAAGTCTGATCCAGAAGAATCTGATGCATTGAAAATACATAGAAATATACATAAATGTTAGACAACAAACAGGGGAGGGGGAGACCAGAACTTAATGGTGACGGACAATACGCTGAGAAATATGCTGCATACAAAGCAGCACGTTTATTAATTTGACGGCAAGTGTTCCGATTTAGTAGCAAATAGGCTTTAAAAAGGAGAGATCTGTTTAAAAAAGAAATAAAGATCTGATCCCGTGTCAAGGGGAAAGGGCATAGCTCAGTGTCAGAGCGTGCTCTTTGCACACACAGAAGGTCGCTGGCAGAATTGCCAGTTCACATTGTTGTTTCAATTTCTTACCCACCCTTCGCTGTAAGATTCCAGGGCAGGTTACAGCCATTAAAATTTTTAGCATTAAAAACAGCTTAAAACAAATTACAGCTGCAATAGCAGGGTGGGTGCTACAAACATATCTTCCAGGTGTCAAAGGCCAGGGTGAAGAGGTCCATCCTCAGAAACTTCAGCACTATAGGTTTAAAGAAGTATCATGCCATTTTAAATAGTCATGCCTCTCCCCACCCCCCAAGAATCCTGGGAAGTTTAGTTTGCTAAGAGTTGTAAAGAGACCATTACTCCCTTTATGGAGCTACAGTTTCCAGAGTTCCCTGGGAAGAGGGATTGGTTGTTAAACTGCTCTGGGAATTATAGAAGGGAATAGGAGTCTCCTAACAATTCTCAGGGGACGTGGGTGGCGCTGTGGGTTAAACCACAGAGCCTAGGACTTGCCGATCAGAAGGCCGGTGGTTCGAATTCCTGTGACGGGGTGAGCTCCCGTTGCTCGGTCTCTGTTCCTGACAACCTAGCAGTTTGAAAGCATGTCAAAGTGCAAGCAGATAAATAGGTACCGCTCCGGCGGGAAGGTAAATGGTGTTTCCATGTGCTGCTCTGGTTCGCCAGAAGTGGCTTAGTCATGCTGGCCATATGACCCGGAAGCTGTACACCGGCTCCCTCGGTCAATAAAGCGAGATGAGCACCACAACCCCAGAGTCGGTCACGACTGGACCTAATGGTCAGGGGTCCCTTTACCTTTATTTTAACAATTCTCAGCCAACCCTGACTTGTGTGCCTTCTTGCTTACATCCAAGTTGTCCTCGTAGAACTCAGCAGGGAGCAGGTTGGGGACAAAACTGGGATTACTTGGCTCTGCTTATCATTTGCTCTGGCTCCCCCTACTGTTGACCTCCTTGTCTTCTCCCCTACCAGTCCCACTGGGTGTCAGCTATCACTGGGTGGAAGATAGCCCTCTCTGGAGCTCTTCAAACAAGGGCTGGGTGGTCATCTGTTGGAGATACTCTAACTCTGGACTACTTGCTTCAAGTCCAGGGGTGAGCTTGATGACTTTCAACCATGCCTCTGACTCTCTGATTCTACTGCCACATTTTTAGAAGAAGGTTTCGCAGGAACTGCTCCCAAGCCAAACCACAAACAACAATTAGGGTGAGGAATTTTGGTGTTCTATCTGATGCTACACAGAGTAGAACCACTGAAATATTCGTTTCAATGGGTCTACTCCGAGCAGGAGTAGCATTGGCCCACAACTCTTTTTTCTTTTCTTTTTAAGGTACGGCCTATTCTTTAGCCCATTGTACAAATAAGGAATTAATATGTATTATCTTAATAGTGGCATTTCATGTAAGCATCTAATAGCAGTTACATTCAATGTGTTTCTGATCATGTATTTGCTGCTGAACCCCTTCCAAGCCTATGAAACTGAAACGCACTTTCCATTGTGCTGCTGCCCTTTATAACCCAACTGCAATGATTCCCCCACCCCTTCAAAATCTTTGCCTACAGTAAGATTTTGTTATTAATATGTTGAGGAATTTGCAAACGTTTCAAAGAGCAAGGGCAAACCCAACGAAAACTGTTTTGGCTGGAGGTGCTGGGCGCGACCCTTTACGATCTCGCCTAAATTATTTGTCCGTGATTAAATCCAGCCCACAGAGTGAAATGTTAGGCATGTTACTTAAGAGCCCCACACCCCTCGAGTGTCAAGACAGAGGATCACCTGGCCCCTCTTTTGGCATAAGCTAAGAAAGTACGGAGATAAAAGCTGAGCATGACTTGGTACCTTCTTCCTTTTTGGCAGAACACCAACCAGAATGTAAATGCATATTTTTTTAAAAAAATAAATAAATCTGTGAACTGCCCCAGAAGTCATCACCAGCCCCATTCAGGTGTTACTCCTGCTGCATACAACAAATGGAGACAAGAGGGGCTTGGTCTTCACTGGGTAGAACCCCAATCCCTGACATTGCACATGCTGAGATTTTATTGCTTTGGGGTAGAGCGGTGGGGAGCA